CACAAGTGGAAGAGGGAGGCTGCTGAAGAAGAAGATGATGATGATGACAGAGGGAGTAAGGAGTGATGAAACAAACATTTTGGCTGTTTGAGGAGAGAGTTTTCTGATGAATATATCATGCTAAGAGAAGAATCTGGAGTGATGCCAAGTTTAGCAACCAAATGGGTAGGGTTTGTCTTTTATGTTTTGAGGACCACTATTGGAGGAAGATGTTAGAGAAGTTTAGTGATTTGACATTGATCCTCTTAACATGCCTCACAGCTAGTCTATTGAATTGGCAGTTGATAAGAAATGTCTAAGCTGGAGACATAAATTAGGAGTCATCAATACATAGATGATATTTAAAATTAAGAGACATTGTAATTACTTAGGTTGCTGATTCTGAAACACTTTACTGTGATACTGTATTTATAATTTTTACTGTAAATACATGATGGTTGGATCAATTCAGTGGACTTTAAAACACACACACACACACACACACACACACACACACACACACGTACCTGGCAATGCACTAATCTGTTAAAACACTGACATCTTTAGAAATCTGTTTGAAAACAGTGTCTTGTAAGAAGGCGTTTTATGTAAATGCTGGAAAGTGAGTGTAATCAGTTTTTTTCTGCCAAGCTGAACTACATTTTAACTCTGAGGAGAGAACATAAGGAACTTTACTGCAGCTGTCTTTCAGAGGATAATTTCCTTTTAAAATGCAATTATTTTTAGTCATTTATTTACAATGTGGCATATTTCTATGTATAAAATTTCAAATACTTGGACTTTCTGTGATTTCTCTTAACTTTCTAGGATTTTGAATAAAAGATAATTTGCAATAATGAAATATTCATCATCCAAACAGCTAGATTTAGTGTCAGCCAGCTGAGGTCTAGGAGGGTAATTTTGTCACTAACCAGCCATGGGAATTCACAGCAGAACTTCACTGGGTTTAATCACTTTGTTTGAAATGAAAAATTAAATTGGGCTTCTGATATATATTCAGTTCCACAGGTTCCCTGTGCCTTCTCCAGACTTGTCACTATTGACCAAGAACACTAGGGGAGTTTGGAAGAGGCTGCGTCCCTCTAGCCTCATAGCTGTATTCCCAGGTAACTCCCCCATGTTTGTCTCTTCATCATAGTTTACTCAGAAGATTCTTTAATTATATGGTCTCAGGATATCCTAGTTCAGACATTCCATGGAAATGATCTCCTTCAACCTCTGTCCTGATACAGAATAGCCACCACAGCCTTGAGAGTAGTTATTCAAAATCTATTTGCAGAGTGCCAGCAGCTCATTAGCTGGGATGGTTGCCTTTGCATTTTGTAACAGCTGCCATCATTTCTTTAGTCCAGCCAAAACAAATATATCCACAACTTCACTTTTTGGTTACCATAAGGATTTGTAAACACTTCTGTGGTTTAGTGGCTCTCAAAGTTTACTATATGTAAGGGTCACTCAGAGGGTTATGATGAACACTGTAGGAGAGCTTCCTATCCCAAGTGATTTTGTTAGATAAGGGATGGGCTTCAATAATCTAGTGTGTGTGTGTGCGCACGCGCGCGCACGTTAGTATGTATGGAGGTCAGAGGACAACTTTGATTGTTGCTCCTTAGAAGCCTTCCTCTTTGTTTCTTGAAATAGTGTCTCTCATACTCCTTGTAGTTCCAGGGCTTGCCAATTAATCTCAGTTGGGTGGTCAGTGAGCTCCAGGGATCTGTGTGCCTTGGCTTGCCCAATGTTGGGAGTACACTAATGCATCACTGTGCTCCATCTGGGGATTATACTCAGGTCCTTATGGTTGTGCAATGAGAGGCTTGCAGTGCCCATTTTAACAAACATGTCACATCATTAATGAATGAAGATTTTTTATGATAATTTACCACAAACACGTGGCATGGAAAATTCAGTTATAAAGTATTTTGTAGAGCTGTGTATGATGGCCATGCCTTCAATTCTAGCACTCGGGACACAGAGGTAGGCAGATTTCTATGAGTTTAAGAGCAGTCTGGTTACACAGAGTGTTCCAGGCTAGGCAGTGATACTCTGTCTCAAAAAGAAAAATATCACAATAGCAGCATCAAGAAAAGCGTATGTAGTACAATTCCACTTTTGGAATGCTCCAACCTTGGAGCATTTTATTCACTATTTTAATGAACTTGGGATTAGGTAACCAGTCCTTCAGTTCTGTCATGTGGGAACATCACAGTATATAGATGGGAGGAGACAGTAGGGAGACCATGAGGCCAGCAGAGTAGTGTTAGGATACAGTGCAGTGAGTGTTAGAGGCCTAAGCTGTAAAGGGGTCAGAAGTCTAGATGCTTATGTAAGTGACAGGATTTTGGGCAAAGATGCTAAGAGGTTAATTGGTTTAGGAGACAGGATTGGTTTTCTTTGTATTCCTTTCTAATTCAAAAGAGGCAGTAATTCAGTTTGCCATCTTTTCAATGTAAACTCTATCTTTTCTAATCACTCAGAGAATATACCTTAATTTGAGAAAACTCCAAGATGACTCTTTCGCTTCCAGTCTGTTAAAAGCAGACTTAACTCCTTGAGGTGGGTGGAAGGTTTGTGTGTTGGAAGCAGATTTCTGAGTTATATCATTCTATAATGTCTAATTTCCTTTTGCTTGCATTTTAATGACAATACAACCACTGTCTTAGTTTTGTTGGGAGCGTTGCCCTCAATCCTAGGAGCAGCAGTTTGAAACCAAATGGTTCTTAGATCTGTCCTGAAGAGCCCAGCTGTTGCTCGGATGTGATCGCGCATTGTTCTAAAATAAGCAGCTTAGGCTCAACTAGCCACACTCTGGGCTGTCCCCATACAAAGCTGTTTCTGTCCCACATAGACTGGGGACTCCCTGTGCTCCAGGCTCAGCTGCAGGATCTGCTGAATTAATCACAGGATGCTTAGATCACATTTCCTAAGGACTTGGCAATTTTCATAGTGACTTCACCCAAAAGCTCAACTCTTTGCTCCCTTTAAATGACCCCTTGATTGCTAGGGTTGGAGATCAGTGTAGTCCTGGGAGAACGCTCTTAAAAGGCTGCTGAGAAGGAATGAACATTCACTTGTCCTCTTGCTTGTCAGGATGAATCCAGCAGTCCATTTGCAGTTATCATTTTGAGCACTCTAGAGTTCAGCAGGCACAGAAGTCAGTGTTTTGCTCTATTTGTTGTCTTAGTGGTATCCAGACACCTTACTTGTCTTGTTTGGAGGAAATTTAGAGTCCATTAGATTAGAAGTCACTGGTAACTTAGGAAAAGTGGCTTCAACTCAGGCTGTACATTGAAGTTACCTGGAAAGCTTTTTATGAAATATAGATGCCTGTATCTCTGTCAGTTAAATTAGGTAAGAATTTGGGGTGTGGAGTGAGAGAAGTGTCCAGTCTCTGAAATTTAGGAAACACAGGAAATCTTATAATTCTAATTTGTAGATAAGAACGGTAATCGTTTTCCTGTGTGTCTGACATTGATACCTCATTGAAACTGGTGTAAATTGTTAGGGGTCCAGAACACTGACTGTCACATTCATACCTGGGTTTCAAAAGATTCCCCAGGGAATGATTTGTGCTGGCTTTTCAGCTTTTCTGGGAAAGGGGAAATAGATGAGATCTTCTGGGTAAACTGGGAGGGAGGGTGTGGAGGGATGGGGATGAGAACACGAGGGAACAGGATGGTGGAGTTTGGGGAGTGATGGAGCAAGTCCTTTTGTGTATATATATCTTATTGGAATTTGAGTAAAGTACTGTTGGCCAGTGAAGAAGCAAGTTAGGCGGGACTAGCATTCAAGGAGGATTCTGGGAATGTAGTAAAAAGAAGTCTTGTGATACAGGTGTTGAGTAAAGTACTGTTGGCCAGTGAAGAAGCAAGTTAGGCGGGACTAGGATTCAAGGAGGATTCTGGGAATGTAGTAAAAAGAAGTCTTGTGATACAGGCAGGAAGTGACATAGCAGGCAGACTCAATATAAGCAGGGACAAGAAAGAAATCATCCTCTTGTGCTTCCTCTTCCTCTTGCTCTTCCTCCTGCTCTCTTCTCTAGAGCTGCCATGTAAGCCCAGGAAAACAGGAGACCATCTGTTGGTGTCCTCCATAAGATAAGTCTTATGATTATGGTTGATAATTAAGACTGAGCTAGCATATAAGAAATCCTAGTCAATTGGCCAGCAGCATTGTAAATTAATATAATTAATAACTCTGTGTGTTATTCTGGGTGCCCATGTGGCGGCAGGGCTCAGGCGGAAGGAGTAAAAACTTATCGCTACAGAGGAGGAATGGAGTGGGAGAGCAATGAAAGAGATATTTTGATAGAGGGAGCCATTATGGGGTTAGGGAGAAACATGGTGCTAGGGAAATTCCCAGGAATCCATGAGGCTGACCCCAGAAATGACTCCTAGCAATAGTGGAGAGGGTACCTAAACTGGCCTTTTCTTGTAATCAAATTAGTGACTACTCTGTTATCATAGGACCTTCATCCAGTAACTGATGGAAGCAGATGTAGAGATCCACAGCCAAGCATCAAACCTTGCTCTAGGTGTTCAGTCAAAGAGATGGAGGAGGGATTATATGAACAAGTGGGTTCAAGATCATGATGGGAAACCCACAGAGACAGCTGAACTGAACTTGTGGGAGCTCAAGGAAGCTGAAGCCTGCATGGGACCAAACAAGGCCCTCTGCATGTGGGTGACACTTGTGTGGCTTGGTATATTTGTGGGGTTCCTGTTAGTGGGACCAGGATCTACCCAAGGTGCATGGGCTGGCTTTTTGGAGCCCATCCCTATAGTGGGATGCCATGCTCAGCCTTAATGCTCTGGGGAGGGGCAGTGCTGGTCCTGCCTCAACTGAATGTGCCAGGCTTTATTGACTCCCCATTGGAGGCCTTACCCTTTCTGAGAAGAAGATGGGAGGAGGGGGAATTTAGAGGAGGGGAAGCAGGGTGAACTGTGGTTGGTATGTAAAATGAATTGAAAAAGTAAAAAAGCAAGTTGCTAATAGAAAAAGAATTTCAAAGGTAAGAGGGGTCTGACTTTAATGAAGATGCCTTTAAGCACCTTCTGAAGTACAACTTCAGAATCCAGTTTGAAGATTTGTGCCAGGCTAGAAGGTGATACAATAGCTAGTGAGTTTTTCTTTTCTGGAAGAGAGCATAGAATTGGAGGGAAGTATGTCTTTGCTGGAGCAGTGATTGTAAGGAAGCTTAGACACATCCCTCTGTTCCAGACTCTTGGGGCTGCTGTGACCCTGTTTCTTAACCTTCCAGTTTCAAAGGTGATAGTGTTTAAACTTCATACTTTGCAGATTTTGTTTTATCCATATTTGCCATAGTTTTGTGGTCACATTTAACTGCTTTTTTGCCCTGGTAAGTCCCCTGCCATCTCATCCCTCAGGTAGGATGCTCAGAATAATTTCATGAAAACACATTTTCAAATTATGTGTAGTTTTGTTGGGGTACCATTCATTTGAAATCCTGTGGCATCTTGTGTAAGTTACATTTTGCTGATTTTTTCCTCTAGTATATTTATCTTATGAAATAGTAATTAAGATATTTTCAGTGGCTTTGTGTCTTTAGTATCTTGTACCCCATTTCATTCAATAAATATTTTAAAATAAAAGAATTGAAACTAAGAGTCTATTTTGGACTACTGGTGAAAAGATAATCTTTGGAGACTGAAATGTGTTTAAGGTTAATACCTAGGAAGAAATTTAGATGAGTCAAACTGGGCATGATACATGCTTGTCACAGAGCAGATTTCCAGTAAGCTTTAGTTGTGTGAAATTAAAAGCCAGGGTCATCTCCTTCAGAACAACTCTGATATATTATTTTAGGGACCTATCCTTTAGCATGTCAAGAGCAATATGAACTCTGATATGGGTATCTTTGTTCATAGATTAATAATTTTATTAGCTTCTAATTATAAAGCAACTGTACATGTCATTTTAAAATGAGCTCTTTAGACATGTGGGTCATAGTTAATCCTCTAAAAATCTTATGAGGCTTATATGAAATTTAAGGGCAGGGATTTAGAATCTACAATGGGTAATCGTAGGGCTCATTGACTTTTCTGATCAGTATTTTTTCAATTTTTCAATTTTTTTTGGTCTGCTCTTC